AAGTGACCTTGCTGTCAAAGCAAACAGGAAAATAATAATAAAAATCTTCACACCTGTTAAATGCCATTATTTCATTATTAGGTTTAATTTTTTGTCTCTTATGTCTTGGGCTTTATGTTATTTTATTTTGATGCTGCTCCACTAGGGCAGTGAACTTGCTGTCATTGGTTTTATGACACCAACCATGCCTTGAGAGAAATCTAGGAAATGCAAGACATGATCAGAGTTCTTCTCTTAGACTGTTGGGCAAGGAAAAGCCTTAGACTAAATTCTTATTTTCAGTCCTTTAAACTGTATTTACATGATCCAAACACTTCTATTCTTATACATCTTACGCATTTCTATCTTGAAGGATCTTCTCACACATGTGAAAGACTGGCGCAGTTTAGATAGGGCAGAGGAAAGAGCAACTAATACCGGCTACGGACAGGAAATATTTCAGGAGTTGGCTACTGCAGCAGAAGGAGAACAAAGTTACGAGAGTAAATCCCAAATGGGGAGAAAAGCAGTCGTGGGTAAGAACATAGGAGCATGGTGCTCGGCACTTCACCGTGCTTCACGAACACCCGCTTTTATGAAAGACTCTCGCAAAGAGCCGCTAGCAAAAATCCACGGGTCTGCGTCAGAAAAAACGTGAGAGAAAGAACAAATATAGGCAACAGCGGACCAAGAGGACCTGGAAGGAGGAGTAGAGAAAGAGGACGTGGAAGCCCTGGGTGTGAGCGGCTGCGGCAGCGGGCTGGCCGCGGGCAGGTGGCTGCAGCCGCCGGGGCTCTCAGTGCGGCTCGCAGCTCGCCCAGCCTCCCCTGCCCGCCACAGCGCCGCAGACAAGGCTCGGGACCCGCCCCGCGGCCGCAACACTCACGATGTTCATGTTGGTTTCGGGGTCCACATTCCTCCGCCCCGCGGCGAACGCGCCCGAGCCGGCGATGCTCTGCAGCAGCACAGCAGCGAGCACCAGGCCCCGCATCCTCGTCCTACGGGACGGAGCCGGGACACCACGGCGCAGCAGAACCCGGCGCTGCAGCAGCTGCGAGCGGGCCCGGTCGGGCTTTTGTGCCACCCTCCGGTGACAGGGGCGGGAGCAGCGGCCGGGCCGGGCCGGGCCGGGCCCCGCGGGTCGCAGCCCGGAGGGAGCGGCGGGGGCGGCGCGGCCGGGCCGGGCTCGGCCCACACGGCGCGGCCCTATCGGCGGTGCCGGCCTTGGGCGCCCGGCCCGGCGTGATTCAGCGTTTCCGCAGCAATGCTGTGGGGATCCTCCCGCCCACCGGGCTGCATTTCCAGGAGCCTTGCAGCTCCGGAGCCCGCGCACCGCCGCCCTGCCGCGGTTCGCGTTGTGCTCCGCAGCGGGCTCCGAGCAGAAAGCGGCGGCAGCAGCCGCGGGAGGGCGGCGGTGCCGCTCCCCGAGGCCGCAGCCAGCATCCCCGGCGTGCCTGCGGTGCCGCTCCCCGAGGCCGCAGCCAGCATCCCCGGCGTGCCTGCGGTGCCGCTCCCCGAGGCCGCAGCCAGCATCCCCGGCGTGCCTGCGGTGCCCGGCACCTGCGCCCCGGCACCGCCCGTCCCTCCTGAGCGCCCTGCAGCGCCGACCGCAGCCGCTGCTGCTCTCACACACATCATCCATCCGTCATCTGCCAGCACTGTCTGAACGTAGCCTACCTTATACAAACAGGCTTCAGTTGCATGCACGGTTACCGTCACAGCTTCCTGCAAACCTGTGGCATTTTCATGCTCTGCCGTAACTGATTTGCAGGCACTGCATTGCACAGCTGTAATCTCCCAGAGATGCTTGTCTGTGGTCAGGGGATGTGTGACCGGGCTTGCAAAAACTTGGACCAAATTAGATCCTTTAAAATGAATATTCTGTTACTCTGCCCATTACTGTGGAATAATATCCATAGAATAATACAGAAAATTGATACTAAATATGCAGTGCTAGAGCAAGAGGGTGTCAAGAACAGAAATGTTTCTGTTTATTTAGAAAGCATTAAGATTTTAATTGAAAAATCATAGAAGTTTTCATAGCATACCTGTGTTTTGATATGTGGATATGTCACTAGATACAGAGATACTATATGATACTTTGCATTCCTGGATGCTATTTCTTAAAACTGATTAATTTTAAATAACTTGGGTGGAAGAATTATTGCTCAGTGATGCACTTGAGATTTTTTTGTCAAATTAATTACAGGTTACTCTTCCCTGCCAAGGGAAGACTCAAATTATAAAAGCCACAACTGCTGCTGTCAAACATAGTAATTATATGCTAACCTAGTGTCATGGTTGGACACTGGCGCAATGCCAGTGTCCCTATGCAAATATACTTTCTCAAGTAAGTGTTTTGAGATGTGATCAGGAACAGAGCAGAGTAGGCTCAGTTTAGAAATAAAGGAAAAAGAACTTTATGATAAAAGACACACACTAAATCTAGAATGAAAATTTTCTAAAATATTCCTCCTCTCCTCACCTAAATTCTAACAAACTACAGTGAGACAACTTGGACTTTCAATTAAGTTATTACCCTTCAGATAATACTCAGTCTATCAAGGGAGAGAGGAGTCTTTCTTATACTATAGACTCCCAGGAAACACAATTACCACCTTTTGTGTTTCCAGATTTTCTCCATGGCACTGCCCGGAGAAAATCTGCAGTGTGACACTCTCTATTTTTATGTTACAGTGTTCTTATTACTGCACATGGACAGATTGCTCATAGGGCTGCTTTAAGGATGCTTTGCCAAGGACTAAAAGAAACAACAGTTTCGTTTCTCATTTTGGGACCACAGTCTCTTCTAGTTTCCTCTTCTCCTGGGGCCGAGGGCGTAAATAGAGATCTTTTTTTTTTTTTGAAGACAGAGGGCATTATCACGCCCTCTTCAGCTTTTTGTGTAGATATGTTTGAAGACATTTCTTATTCTTCTGCGTGTACAGATCACTCCAGTAACCAAAGACATTTTATTAAATATGAATGCATTTGTTGTTCCCAGCCCATTTCCGGACATGTTTTCCAAGGAGGTTCTGCATTTGCTGCTATGCAGTGCAGCTCTCCCTGAGAGCAGTCAGCCCTGCTACAGCTTGCTCTGAAGTGAAAGCAGCAGAGCTGTAGAAAGATTTCTGAATTTTCCTGTGCAGTGCCCAGCAAGTTACACAGATGGCTTCAGAAAGGGTTTGCATACCTTTCTCTTACTTATTCTAATTTAAGCACTTTCCTGCATGTACTTTATTTAATAGGCATTTGTGTCAAACCCCAGCATATAGATGCAACTAAATTAGTAAAAAATAAGGAAACTAGGGCAAATTTCTGTATTTCAGAAGGAAGATGCCTGCATTTTCCCACATGTACCAAGCAGTGTACATTTCAAGGAAATTGAAATGTGACTTTAAATTGAAATTCAACTTGATTTCAAGTTTCAAGGATAACATGCCTGGGACAGAAGCAGAGACAAGAAACACATAGATATTTAGTAGTATAGTAAAACATTAGTCTCCACATTTGGTTTTGGCATAGCAATAATCTTTCAAACATTTTTTTTTTTCCTGTAACTACCTACAACCTTTATTTTCCATAAAATACATGGATTTGTGTAGATACCCTAATCCTTTTCCTTCTCCATCCACTGCATCTTTTCATCACCTATCAAATACCTGGTTGCTAGAATCTTGAATGCTACTCAGAGAAGTAGCTGTACTAACCTTTATCTTGAGCTCTGAAACATCAGCTCCAAGAGTCCCTCCACACACACACACATACAAGCACACAAACAGACACTTAAATAAGACACAGGGTGGGGCAGGGGGGGTGTTTGTGTGTTACCAAGGCTCTCCAAATTCTTGTAGAAATCAGACGTTCTAATATATAAGACTGGTTTGTTGGGGTTTTTTTGTTTTGTTTTGTTTTTTTTAAAGAGGGAAATTGTGGAAGAGGGAAAGAAGGAAAAAGAAGGGAAGAAGAAGGGAAAAGAACAGTTACCAGGTACTTCATCTTTGCCATCATGGTGCATCGTGTGGTTTCTCCTTCCTCTCACCAGGTCTAGTCTGAGTCATTTTTGTAAGTTTGGTAAAACACTTATGTGTAGACCTTTCTTTTTTTTCCCTGGTCTGCAGCTTCATTTTACATCTGAATTTACTATATATAGTGCCATTTATTTATGTTACGATCTATTTCTTGGTTCTCTTTGTTACTCCCAAAGTCAAGTTTACAGAGCCAGGTCTGCATTTTTAATTTTTTTAAACTAAGCATCAATGAGTTGTTCATAGATGCCCTAGTCCACAGGCCATTCCCATCTCTGTTGCCATGTGTGTAGCCTGTAGCAGCATCAGGCTGTAAGCTTTGCACCGGCTTTGCATGGCCAGGGGACCAAGGTCTGCTCAGTTTGACCTTTTGTTTTGCTTGGCACACCTGTGACAGCAGTTTCTCAAACTGACTGCCTCTATCTAATGTGATTTGTGAAAGGATAGTCGTGGGTTTATGTAGAGAGCAGCAGCAAACATTTCCTGCAGATAGGATACTTAGTACTCTTGGACAATGGCATAGTGCAGAAAAACACAGGCCTGGTACAGCAGCAGAGACCTCGTGGTGTGGAGGCACAGGATGAAGGAGTGCAGAGAGGGAGATAAGGGTTGTTTGTGTGTGTGTGTAACGTGGGTGACACAACACCAATAAAACAGGAGCCTACAGCATGGCACAGAATTGTGCAAAGATGCATCAGCAGAGACACGAGGGGCAAATGACCCTTCCCTAACCTGTGCATGATAACCAGGACAGCCCCCACTAGCCTGAAATATTCTCTTTATCATGGATGTCTCTGCCTTTGAATATAGTAAATGCTGGAAGCATTAGGAGCTGTTGCCACATTCTCCACAACACTAAGTAAGACATGGCACAGAGCCAGGCTGAAACAGAGCAGCTTAGGGACTCAGTTTCAATTCCTCGCCTGCAGACTGATCATTCTGTTTTGGCAAACCAAGAGAAAAGCGAAGTTTCAGTTTCTTATTCTCAGTGATTGCATCACAGATGCCATGAGGGTGGGACCAAATAAATAAAATGGAAGGCATAACAGCTGGGAGCAGCACTCCTTTGGCTTTGGAGCTGCCTGAAGACAAGTGAGCAGAGAAGGAAAACCATGAGGTAAGAAAGCAATCCAGTCTCTGAAAGATGTTTTTTTTTCTCTATGTCACAGGAAGATAATGCTTATTATTTACATAAATGTAAGCAGTGAGGGACTTTGAGCATCTAAACAACGGAAAATATTTCTCAGAATATTTTGAGAAGAATCAAAATAAAATAAGGATGCTCTTGAATGTTGTCAAGTTATTGCTTCTCTCTTGAATGTTGTCAAGTTATTGCTTCTCTAATGAGGTTCAGTCTCTTTGAGTAGAACAGAAAGTCAGAAAAATTTTGTGCATGCAGTGTGGGGATGAAATCCAGGCTGCAGCAGGTGCAGCCAAAGAGGTATAATCTGTCTCTCAGACCTGTGTTTGTGATTCCTCCTTGATTTGCTTCCTCATAATTTTTCAGTCTTTCCACTCAGTCCTTTTTTTACCCAAAAGATTTGATTGTGTAGTTGAGCAGCAGCACATGCTGTGCCCCACAGGGTGTTAGACCTGTTAGGAGTTACAGGAGGGACAGCAAGGAAGTGTTTCTCAGGAAGATTTGACTGACAAGCCTCAGTAATAGAATTGTTTGTCAATCCTTCTTTAATTAAGGGAAAGCACAGTGTGGACTAAAATGTAATCTCTGTGTTGTAAAAATGTCCCCTTGACTGTGTGATAAAGGCCAGTCTGTGCACCCACACAGGTAGGCAATGGCAGCAGGGGAAACCCAAGTAACACCCTGCCCTGCTGGCTCCCAGGCCCCATTTGGGAAGAAAAAGCTGCTGAATGATGGAGAGGGATTGTCCTGATTTCATCTGGTAGAGAGTTAATTTCTTCTCAGTAGCTGGTAGTGAGCAATTGTACTGTGCACCACTTGTTTTTCTTCGAGTTTTATTTTTTCCTTTTATCATAATTATTAATATTTACTATTACTATATTTTAGTTTGTTTCAGTTATTAAGATTTATTAAATTCTGACCTTCACCTACAATTTTTTATTTTGATTCTCCTCCCTGTTCCACCAGTGAGGGACAGGAGATGAGTGAGGAGCAGCATCATGCTTGGCTGCCAACTGGGCTTAAACCACACCAGGGATACAGGACTATTAAGGACCAGTAGAATGTCACCAGGGTCTGGTTAATAAGGGTGTGTGAGTGTGTGTGTCTAGGGGTGAGGCACCTGGGGACAGAGAGAAGTTCCCTAATCAGCCACTAGACATCCAGAGCCAGCATCTGAGAAGCCACAGGGGTTAGTGAGTGAGTGTGTGTTTTGCACCAGCAAGTGGAATGGGGTTGCATACTCATGGGCTGTGCATCCAAGTGCCAGCAACGGGAGAGGCTGGTGAGATCTGGGACCCAATTCCTGGATATATTAACCATATAATCAGTATAACCATTACATAAGAATGGTGCTATGATTGTACAAGGATTTAAAAATGCAGGAAATTCAAAATTAAATTCATAATACAAACCACAGCATGTTCAAATGTTTAGGAAATGGACTAAATTACATTATTTATAGTTCAATTATTTATGTGATTAAATCTTTTGGGTAAGCTTCAGCAATTTGTTCCCAGCACAGGAAATATGTCCCTGAGGCCCAAGGGTGTGCCACCTGTACTACAGAGACCAACCTTCCATTTTAACATCCACAGCAACATCTGTTTCTGTGTAAGAGGTGCCATCATACACTGGCAAAAAGAATCACTAAAATCACTATTCAGCATTTTGGAGCTAGGGCTCCCTACAGCTTTGGCTTGTTTGAAGTATTGTGGACTAAGGGCACCAAGTGAAGCATTGCCTGTCTTTAAAGTACATCATGCCTGGTTTAAAAACAAGATTAGCAAAAAGTAAACGGGGTATAAATAACTTTTTCTTTGATTTCTTCTAGTACCATTTCCAAGGATTCCTTGAAGATTTCCCTGTTGCAGTTAGAATGTCATTTTACGTGGGCTTTGCTGAAGAAGCATGTAAGTCTTGAGGTCCTAGAGGAAACCATACTTGATCATATCAAGTTTTTGTCAGAATATGAGATTAGAGATTATAATATGCTCTCCTATGTAAACTACCTAAAGAATTCAAATGAGAAAGCCCTGGAAAACCTCAAAAAAGCTGAAGAAGCTATTCAAAAACGTCATCCAGATGAAATTGACTGGAGAAGTCTTGTTACCTGGGGGAACTATGCCTGGATCTATTACCACATGCAGAGATATGAAGAAGCTCAAACTTACGTAAGCAAAGTGGAAAACAGCTGCAAAAAGCTTTCAAGTACTGCTCATGGGAAGATTCAGCTTCCAGAGATCTATGCTGAGCAAGGATGGGCATTATTGCGTTTTGGGTTTAATTACTTTGAGAGGGCAAAGAATTGCTTTGAGGAAGCTATGAAGAGTGAGCCTGATAACCCAGATTTTAATGCTGGCTATGCAACAGCCATGTATCGCTTGGAAGTTAACTCTCAGTGGTACAGGGGAGAGACAACGCCATGCCTCGAGGCCCTGAAGCGGGCAGTGGAACTGAATCCAAAGGACACTTCTTTAGCGGCATTACTCGCATTAGTACTTCAGCGATTACATCGAGGTCATGAAGGCGAGAGGTACATTCAAGAAGGACTGCAGAAAACCCCTGACTTTCCTGTTTTCCTGCGACATGCTGCTAATTTCTACAGAAAGAAAGGAGAAGTGGACAAGGCAGTGGAGATTTTGAAGAAGGCCCTAGCACTGACGCCAAAGTCTGTCGTTCTGCATCACCAACTAGGACTCTGCTACAAATTCAAGGCACTTCAATTGAAAAAGACAAGACACTCACCTCAAGAGGAAATGGCAAATTTTATGCAGCTTGCCATTTTTCATTTTAAAACAGTGATTGACAAAAAGCCAGTATTTTTTTATGCCTATAGTGACCTAGCAAAAGCATATGCAATAAGCAAGAGGTATGAAGAAGCAGAAGAGATATATCAGAAAGTGCTTCAGAAAAATGATATGGCATGTGAAGAAAAACAAGAAATCTACTTGAATTATGCCTATTTTCAGCAGTTTCACATGAAGTCAGAATCAAAAGCCATTAAATATTACATAGAATGTCTGAAAGTTGAAGCAGATTCCTATGCAAGAAAAAAGTGCAGTGAAGCTGTGGAGACATTATTGAAACAGAAAATTGAGAGTGGTTTAGGAGATGCCACTGATATTGGTACACTTGGACTTGTTCATAACCTAAATGGTAAGAAACAAGAAGCAATTGAATGCTATGAGAAAGCCATTGCCTTGGATCCCAACAATGAAGAATATCTGAATACGTTAGCTGAGCTACAACTTTCCATCTCAAGCTAAAGCTCACAAAAATCCTGTGTACCAAAAAACTGTGTACCCCAAACCAAGGAGGTTTCAACACTATCAAAACTTTTTTTGTTGTTTGTTTTTCTTTTGATAATATAGAAACTGCGGATGATTATTGATTTGTGCATTGACTAACATAGAGCATGCTTGGATAGCTATATAATATATATTTATAGCTAATCTAACTTAGTCTTCAATGCTAACATGGGTATAAATGTTGTATTTAAGCGATGGTCTGTAGAACTTCTATGCTGAAATCAGGTATTACCTTCTTCTTAGAAAAAGATAAGGGAATCATATTGTTGTATTTTGTCTTTATACTTGAAGGGCATGCTTATACACAAATAGAATTTTTTAAGTGTTTCAAAAATATCTTTTGTAGAATAAACTCCTGTTGAAGGCTTGTTCAGTTTACTACCTTGTATGCTGTTTAATTATGAAAAACAAACACTTTTTTGCTAGTCCACTGGAAAGTTTACAAAATGTGTATTATTGTTGTGAGCTATTAAAGTCTGTTGAATCTATAAACTGTTGCTTCTGGATATCTCTCTGATGACCAGCCTTCATGTTAGTAGATTAAATAAAGAGAAATAGCCATTCAAAAATGTAAGAAGGATAAAGTTTTGATAAGATATGAAAGGCTGAGGAGACAGCCCCATTAATTTTTCTGAGCTCCCAGCAAATCTGGCTCCAGGGGCATTACACCAAAGAATTAAACTGTGCACAAAACAGCGTTTGTCTAGTTTACCCAAAATACCCTATCAGGAACCACAGCAGCAAACATCTGGAGAGGAAGGAAGGACACTCCTTGAGATGCCCAAGAGATGGTTGTGGCCATTCTAGTCAAAAAAGCCAGGGATAGCAAACACACACAAGAAATGGCCTAAAGTGAACATGGAGGGGAGAGTACAACTAGAGCACATTTGGATAACCACCACAGAGCAGGGCAGGGGAACATAAGGGGCATGTGGAAAGAGGGGTGGATGCCTGAAGCAGCACTTCAAGTCCCAGAGAGCAGCCCGCGCTTTTGGGGCCTGATGCACACTTGCAAAAAAGCTAATGAAGAAAGGCAAAGGACGGGTCTTTGGAGATCCAAAGGCTATCTATTGCTCCCAAGACAAAGAACAGGGTGCAGGGCACAGGGTTAATTATGAGAAAAAAAGGGGTGGCTCTGAGGCCAAGGACCAATGGTAACAGGAAAAAGTGGTGCAGGGAAGGAGCAGCAAACTAGGGGGACCAATAGGATAACAGGGGCAGAACACTGCAGCAAATTGGAGCCAACAGGGATTGAGAAAGGGGAGATGATTCTAGTCCATGTACACATATGGTGAACAGGGGCTGAATGGGGGTGGAATTGGGAGAACCAATGAAACTTGAAATATTAACATGTGCATGCAAAGGCCTATGGGAGGGAGGCTTTTCTCACCCTAACTTTAGAGGGGTGTTTCTCCTAGCTTGTTTCTGCTCTTCCTAAGTTATCATGCTGTTGCTTCAGTGGTAGGATTTTGGGCCTCCACAGGTGCCCATAGGGTCTACATGATTGGAAGAAAGTGCTGAAATGCCCAAAGTCTGCAACTGTCCAAGTAAATTTTGATATTTTTTGTAGTATTCTGTTCTAAATAGTGACAGCAAACTGGAGACAGAGCCCATCAAGAAGGATGTGCACTTTAGTTTCTAGCCATCCTGGAGCATTCCCACCACCACCAACAGCACCCCTGTACAGACAGGATGACAAGCCATGAAGGAGTGCAAAACACCAATGCCAGATCAAAAAAATAACAATAAACCTCCTTCTTCTCAGCCCTCCTTCAGAGACTCTTTCATAACACGAGCAAAAGCAATCAAGTTACATAATAGCAAACAACCTCTTCCTAAGAAATAGCTGGAGCAAAACCCACCCTTGTTTCCCCCAGCCACCTGCCAGCTTCTCTCTTACATGCAAAGGCAACCCTACCTAGGGAAGGAGTGGTGGGGAAGGAGAACAGGAAGGACTGGGAGCACTCCTGAAAGCTGGCTGGGACAACAGTGGGGGCAAAGTCAGGAACTGGTGACACGACGTTGGTGTGCCCAGCTATAGGGACAAAAAGGTCTGTTAGATGACCTCACTGCCTTTGTAAACCTTGAGGGCTCCTAAGCTCAGCATCATTGCTATCTAAACTCCACTGAGGGCCTAGAGGGTGGAGGGCAGCAGGGAAGAATTTGAGGAAGAGGTGGTGCAAGCCATGGTGACACATCCAGTCTCCCCTCTACACTGCCACCAGGACATCTCCTGAAAAAAGAACCTTGAAGAAATAAGGATAAGCTATAAATTATTTTGGGGAAAAAAATGTGAGCCTTAATTTTTATGAAGAGTCATAGCAGCTCGATCTGCACAGTGAAGAAACTGTGAGACATAGTAATGCAAAAAGTGTATTTGTTGTGCCTCAGCTTCTTTGCACTCTACAGGACTGCTCTGGACCACAGATGCCTGGGGATGCTCCCAGATATCCAGCCTTCTGCATTTTGCCTGTCTTGTAAATGAGGAAAAACATTATTTCCCACAGGGTGGTGCTGCTGCATTGCCTGACATGCTAACATGGGGAGCAGGTTGAGTTGGAGCTTTGGGAGGTAGAGAAAATAAAACACACATTTTGGAGAAATATGTGGGGTTTTTTGGGCAAAACTGGAGCTGCACAGAGGCTGAACATACCTGTTAATTCACACCCAAGTGTGAATACATTACTGAAGCTAATGCTAGCAGTGTAGGGAAAAAATGAGTGAAAACAACCCTTCAGGAAGTATCAATTTATGACTCGCAAGCTCCTTCTAAAGTATATAGAACATTTTACTGAAGCATACCAGAATAATCACTAAGAAGGTATTATTTATTGAGGCAAACTAAGCACTTTGCTATGCTGACCTACAGTTTAAGTTAAACAAGCTCTTCCTTCTCACATAAATTTGTAACACTTTACAAAGCAATAATGTGTGGCAATGTAAAATACATTCATCATATAGTAACGCAGCCTTTATCTTTCAGGAGATAAATTATTATCCAAGCTGACAGGAATGTTTCAGGAATACTTCTTCTGAAAAAAGAGTCATTTTTCAGCAGAAGATACTTGACTTTTCCAATGCTGTTTTCACACAACATTCCAAGGTACAATTTGTCAAATGTTCCAGATTATCACTAGAATATAAATAATTTCAAATTAATTATTATTTCCCCATTTCAAACCTCATGGAATGGAGACACATGGGATAACTTCAGCAGCTGTAAGCAGTTTCACTTACTTACACTGAACTTCTATCCACTGCACAGAACAGAGCATAATCCCAGGTGGGATCCATCTGAGGTAGAATCTGTGTTGGACAGATGTTACCCCAAGCCAAGTCCCACCACGCTGTCCTGGGAAGCCGGACAGGCTCAGCAGTGCAGTGCTCCAGCCGAGCTCAAATCCAAAAATGCTTGTGTCCTTCAGGGCTGGTAGGAACATAGAATTACAGGATCATTAAGGGTGGAAAAGACCCCTAAATCCTCAAACATTCAGTGTTCATCTGGCAAATTGTTCACAGCTAGCTCAGGTATCTTGACTTATTCTCATACCAAGCCATGCCAGGAAATGTCCTCCATGGAGGACACCCTAAATATTATGATCTCTGAAAAAAAATATTGCTGATACTATAAATCATTCTTCAAAACCATTGTGAGCCAGAGATTTCTATAATGCGTTGCCTGAAATATTTCACATGGCAGGATGAAGGTGATCTGTTCAGCCTGGGTTCTGTGGGGCAGGAGCTACAAGTTAGTCCTGAGGCTTTGCCAGCCTGGATTGTATTCCTGTTTGTTCCACTTGCAGATCATGTCCTGCTATGCTTCTTTCCTTCCATTTCTTAGTGGGAGCATCCATGACAGGGCTGATATTTCACAGTGTGCTCTATACACAGAAGTCTTTATTGCAGTATATAAGCTTTTCTCCATTGACTTAAGTCAGAGCAGAAACACTATTGGAAAGCCCTGAAAGAATTTTACCATTTTCTACAAAAGGTCTGTGGATAAAACTAGTTGAATGTTTGCTACTAAATAAAATATTTAAAACAATAAGTACTGCTTAAAAACCATAAAGGGAAAAGCCTATGAACAAAAATGTTAAAATAATAAAAAATGCTAATAATGTATTACACAGTGTAATTTACTATGATAAAAATGCATATAGCATTATTCCAACAGGCTTTTACAATATGCAGTTCCGACATGAACAACAGGTAACATGTTGTGATGCGGTAAACAAAGTAATTATATTTTTGTAAATTTATTTATGGTGGTAATTTAAAACTTGTTAAAAATTTTTTTTTTTTGTTGACCATACTATTCTCTACTTTTTAAAATATTAAAATATTGTATTAAGATCTAAACCATTATCTTCATCAGTACTAATTAATAAAACAAATTACATTTTTTCCAAATATGCATATCTTTCCTAACTCATTAGGATAATATTTGGCTTTTTTTACGAATATATGTTAAAAACTAAATTGGGGACCAAGACTCAATTTTCATGCTGAGCTGAAGAAAAGTTATGTCATTGGCTTTAAGAAGATTTTGCATTGCTGTTGCTTATTCTATGGTCTGTGCACATAGATCATGCTACTGGCTCTGACTACATTCCTGAAGCAGGACAGTGAGAAAGGCTTCATTTAAACACAAATTATTTTGTTATATTTGAAATACACTTGGATAATAAAACTACTTGATACACATGCTATTCATATATATATATATATGTGTGTGTGTGCATATAAATACATTATACTCGTATGGCTGTACTCTTGGTCTAAATCCAGTTGATAGACATCAGTCTATGTTGCTTTCTCTGCCAAGGCACAGGGTGGAAAAGGACACCATGAGCAGCCACTGAACACACTGCAGACTGAAACTACTAGTTCAGTGTGAGTGAAAATTACTTGGACTCTGATCAATTTGTTAATGAACAGAATACAGCCTGATACAGCATTAAAACACTGAAACTATTTGTATTGTAGAATGTGAAGTATTCCATTGCTGACAATGTTTTCACTCTGTAAATATAGAAAATCACAGTATTTATTAGACCATCACATCAGTAAGTTACTCCAAGAGCTACATTCACTCCCTAGCACTGGTGAAGCAGCCAGCTGGAGTATATTCCTCACACAAGCAGCAGGAAACTGCCAGCAAGTCACAGCTCTTATGTTCTGGCCATCAAGGAAAAGTGACCTGACAGCTCTTCAGATGGTACAAATGAGCAATTGGCACCACTTGAAGAGCAACTTCTGGGTCTAAAAAGAGACAGACTTGCACTGCAATACACAGAAACAATTCTGCCAACATCCTCTCCATGATCAGCCTGTGGGGTGGGCAATTTTTCAGCCATCTGGTTGCATGAACTCTAAAGCTCTCTAATAGGTGCTGATTTTACACGAGGAAGAGGCTCTGTGTTTGAAAACACAGGAGCCTCTCTGGTCTCTTGGGCTGCCTTTGGGCTCTTCCAACAAATGCAGTTAAAGCA